CACAGACACAGTCTCTCTGGTAGCTTCTATTGGTGGGGGCGTTCCAACCCTCAAGACAAATGAAAGATTGGGGAACCCCCAGATTCAACTTGCCTTTTGCCACCACCAATGTCAGCACCCCCAAACCTAGTGTCACTCATGTCATGACAGTGCTTCACACCGGTGGGTCTCTGGGCACTGCAGGCCTTACTGAGCAGTGGAGGGACCCACTGGGAAGCCCACGCGAATTCACTGGGGTCCTGGGAAGTTCCGCTTCCTGGACATCAGAGAAATGCCCCCTGGTGGTAAGAGAGTTCAGGATGCCACCACCAGAAAAAAGCCGCATCTTGGTCGGTCCTTGGAGGAAAATCATTTGAGAGTTACAAATGTAACTTTGTAAACTTGTGAGTTACAGATGAGAACGCCATGCTTGGAAACGGCATGGGATTGCTGGCCTTAGGGTCCCAGGAATAGTTTCCTGCATAAACACACCAGGCTGAGGATGCCCACCACACCCGCAGGGGTGGGTGGGGAGGCAGACCCTGGACTCTGGATCGTGAACCCTGGAATCTTCAGGCACCCCAAGCAGCAGGTGTAGACAGTCCAGTCTCTCTGACCCTCCTCTGCTCACAGGTGGGCTCCTCCTCGGACCTGAGCCCTCCCCTTCCAGAGCAAGGTCATGGGACTTGCCTGGCCAGTGAATTTGGAAGATGAAGGCTGCAGGTCACTTTCTGGAACAGGTCTTTGGAGCTGACGGTCCCTGCCCAAGAAGGGGCAGGCATCAGCCGTGCACTGGAGGCACCAGGGGGTGCTCATCTAAACGAGCCTTTGCTTGGTCCTGTAGTACTGGAGGACAAAGATCAGAGTGGGGAGGGGTGCTGGGGAACAGCCTGGCCTCAGTGGCAAGCCGGTGTCATGGTGAGCTGTGGGCCTGTAAAGGTCTTTCCCAGGCACTTGCCAGTTCTGGCACATTCCATAAGCAATGTCATCTGCATCTTGTCCAACTTTTCCTTCTTTTCCTTTTGTCACACAGGCTGGAGCACAGTGACTCAATCGTAACTCACTGCAGCTTCAAACTCCTGGTCCCCAGCAATTCTGTCACCTCAGCCTCCCAGCTGGGCACAGGTTACCACCATGCCTGGTTAACATATTTAGAGATGAGATCTTGTTATGTTGCCCAGGCTGCTCTTGAACTCCTGGGCTCAAACAAACTCTGCCTCTCACCTCGGCTTCCCCAAGTTCTGGGATCACAGACATGACCCACTGCCCAGCTCCTGTACAATTTTTATACAAAGGGTCTGGAGTGCCTGTCGAGCTCACGAGGCATGCCAAGGCACAGGCCTGCACAACCTCAAGTCTGAGAGGAAGAGCAGAGTGGGGTGGCACCTGCCTTTCTACAGCCCCGAGGAGGGTTGAGGAGATACCTCTGCTGACCCCACCCACGCCTTCCCCTACTCCCACCCTGGGTCTGGGGTTTCCCTGCCCCAGCCTGGCCCAAGTCTCACCAATACAGGGGCCTCCCAAGCCATGCTGCTTGAGCAGCAGAGGGACAGGGACAGCGGCGTTCTCTCCTTTCCCTCCCCTCTGGTCTCGCTGATCTGGGCAGGCCGCTCCCCTTTTTAGGTACCATCTGTGCATTCTTTTTTGTTTTTCTTTTTTCCAGCACCTGTGCATTTCTTTATGCCTGTCTTTTGCCACATTCGCCCTCCTTTCCCTCTCTGCCTGAGGTAATCATTGACGTATTTTTAAGGTGCACTTTTACTGGAATACATTCTTGCAATGTGTGCATGACCATTTTGTGTGAAAAATGACTTTCTTTTTGTTAGCTAGGTGAGCTTTGTGTATAAAATTAACCATTTCAAAGTGAACAGTTTGGTGGCCGCAGGTGCACTCACAATGTTGTGCGACCACCACCTCTGTCTAGTTCCAAAGTCTCCTCATCACCCCGAGAAGAACCCTGTACCCATGAGCAATCACACTGCATTCCCTTCCCCCATCCCCAAACAGCTGCCATCGAGTCGTGGGCTCGCTGCCCCCGTGTGTGGAAGCCAATACCAAGGCAGCAGCTTTTGAGAAAAGAAAGGCTTTACTGCGTGTTGACTGGCAAGTAGTCAGGAGGATGTGCTCAAGTCTGTCTCCCAGAGCTGGGTCCGAGGCAGGTTTTATAGACATAGGGTCATGAGGCATGATCTCATTCGATCTTCCAATGAATGAGGTGATCTTCCAATGAGGTGATGGAGAGGTGGGATTTGATTGGGTCACGCCATGCGGTGACACCAGGGCTTAATCTGATTGGAGCATGGATCCTGCTGTGCGGTGTCAGTTTCTTTTTTTGAGACAGAGTCTCGCTCTGTCATCCAGGCTGGAGTGGCAGTGCCAGCTCTGCTCACTACAACCTCCGCCTCCTGGGTCCAAGCAATTCTTCTGCTTCAGCCTCCCGAGTAGCTGGACGTCTGGCTAATTTTTGTATTTTTAGTAGAAGCAGGTTTCACCATATTGGCCAGGCAGGTCTGGAACTCCTGACCTCGTGATCCGCCCGCCTCGGCCTCCCACAGTACTGGGATTACAGGTGTGAGCCGCCGTGCCCAGCCTGCGGTGTCAGTTTCTTGATTCATTCTCCCATTCCTTGGTCTGGCACTTAGGTTCTGCCTGAGGCTGCAACCTTGGCTCATCTGGGTGCGTTCAGGTAACTTGCAACCTGGGGCCCGTGGCCACTGAAACACAATTCGCAATTTTGTTATCTAAAAGTTGAGCCTGATCGGCCTGGCTCCACAGTTACACAAGCACCAACTAAGTAGCTTCCTGTCCCTGGGGCTTTGCCTACTCCCAGCACTGCCCCCGGCGGAATCGCACCCTCTGCCACCCTGTGCGTCTTGCTTCCTTCACTCAGCATCAGACTTTCAGCCTCATCCACATTGTGGTGTGAGTCATTTATTCCTTTTGATGGCTGAATGGTATTCCACTGTGTGGATGGCCCACGTTTGCTTCATCCACTCATCAGGTCATGGACTCTGGGGTTGTTTCCACCTTTGGCTCCTTTTAAATCTTATTTATTTATTTAGAGACAGGGTCTTCCTCTATCGCCCAGGCTAGAGTGCAGTGGCATATTCACAGATCACTGCAGTCTCAACCTGCTGGGTTGCAGCAATCCTCCTGACTCGGCCTCCCAAAGCACTGGGACTGCAGGCATGAGCCAAGTGCCTGACCTTTCCAAAGTTCTTGGGGAGGCCAAGGTGGGAGGATCATTTGAACACAGGAGTTTGAGACCAGCCTGGGCAAGATAGCAAAAATGTTTTTTCCTGTCTCTACAAAAAATTTTAAAACAATTAGCCAGCTGTGCTGGTGTGTGCCTGTGATCCCAGCTACACAAGAGGCTAAGGCAGGAGGATTACTGGAGCCCAGAGTGTGAGGCTGCAGTGAGCTGTGACCGCACCACTGCCAAGGTGGAAAATGTCCCTGATATTTCGAGTTTGCCCTACATGTATTTTAATCATGAATAGATGTTGAACCTTATAAACTCTTTCTGCATTAATTGGGATAGTCATATGATTTTCTCTGTGAGTTAATGTACTTTCTGTTTCTGTTAATGGCTAAGCAGTTCCTATCAGTTCGACCTTCCCATAAATAACTATGAAGTGGATAAAATATTAAAAACACAGCCTGTAATCCCAGCACTTTGGAAGGCTGAGGTGGGCAGATGGCTTGAGCCCAGGAGTTCGAGACCAGCCTGGGCAACATGGTGAAACCCCATCTCTACAAAACCACAAAAATTAGCCAGGTGGGGTGGCATGTCAACATGTGTCCGTAGAGACATTTTCTTTTCACCTGTTTTGAAACAGCAGATTACAGTTTTCATCTCTTTCGAGTGCTTCTGTTTCCGGCATGCATTCATCGCCTGTAGGGATATTGCTATCCTCTTTTCTCTTGCAATAATCTTTCGGAGGATTTGACCTCAACACTTTTCCATTGCTTGTGTTTGTGCGAAACTGATCTTCTGGTGCTTTTAGAAGGAAGCATACTTTAGGGTAACATCTTTCATTGTTTTCTGGAAGCATGCATAACTCTGGAAGCTTGTTTTCCAGAATTTCCCTGGCTCCATTTCCCGCCTTGAGTTTTTCATCTTGTCATTGTTGTCCATAACCTGCCCAATTTTGCCTCTATTTAATAAAACTTATCTTTCTCTTTTTGAGACAGGTTCTCACTGTGTGGTCCAGCCTGGAGTGAAGTGACACGATCACATCTCACTACAGCCTCAACCTCGAGGGTCCAAGCGATCCTCCCACCTCAGCCTCCAGAGTAACTGGGATTACAGGTGTCCAGCACCATGCCCAGCTCATTTTTTTACACAGGGGTCTTGCTCTGTTGCCCAGGATGATCTTGAACTCCTGGGTTCAAGTGATCCTCCTGCCTTGGTCTCCCAAAGTGCTGGGATTACGGGCATAAGCCCCAGTGCCCAGCCTGAAACCTCTCTCTCTACTGGAGTTCGTTTTAGTGATTTCTTCTGTCAGTGGATCATTTTCACTCACTTCTCGTTTTGTGTGTTTTGTTCTCATGTCCTTTCTTGAGTAGGTTAGTGATGCCCCCCAGCCTCTGCCTACTGGTTGCTTTTTTCCAAGGAGCAGACCTTTGCAATACGAGCTGTCAGTGCTTTTCTGACTTGGGCTCCCTCACGTCTGCTTCTGCCCCTTCCTTGTTCACTTTCAGCGCAGGTTACCCCCACCACACACTTCTTCTTTTTGCAGTTGGATGTTTAAATGCCTGCGGCTGTTTTGTGTGTGCAGGTGTGTACATACATGTACGCGATGGCCTTTCCCCGGGTCTGGGCTTTCACCACACCTCACGGATTCAGAGGAGAGTGTCTGTGTCATCACCCCTCTGTTTCTGGAAAGAGCTGGTTCAGTCTGTGTTTCTTTCCTGAGAGCCTCGGGAGGAGTGACCATCCCTCCTTTCTGTGTGTGGGAGAGGACACTGGCAACAGCTCCGACCGTGACAGAAGGACCCACACAGGTGATCTCAGAGGCTTGCTTTGTAAATATTTAATGATCTTATCAAATCTCAGGTGCACTCTGCCCGGCTGGGTCGTGCCTGGCCAGCCCCTCTCCCCCTTCCCTCTCTTCTTCTGCACATTTGCTCGGCATCTCCTGACTCAGCATCCACCCACGGGATGGGTGGACCTTGCCTGCTCCAGAGAGAGCAGGGCAGGAGGTGCTTAGGGGTCTGGAGACAGCTGGGCTGGGGCAGAGTATGCAGCCATGAGAATGCTAGAGGTGTGTCCTGGCCTCACAGCACTGACCAGCCAACCAGCATGGCCACAAGGACGCTGAGAGTGGCCCCCAGAGCTGGACAGAAAGCAGGGGCTGGCTGAGCAGGAGCGGGTGTGATTTCTATATTATAACGTATCCATTTTGAGAAATAGGAAACACTGGCGTACACTCCAGGGTACAGAGGGTTGGAGCAGCCACGGCCCCAGCTCACGATTCCAACCTGCAACCAGCTGCGGTTGAATTCACAGACGAGTGGACCCCCGGAGTCGCCCTGTAAAGGAAGGAGTTCTTGTGAACTGGGAGTCCCAGACCTGTTGCCTCTAGCACCTGTCTGTCAGGGTGCAAGGGGGTGGCCCTGCAGACCCTGCTGGAAGGAGCCAGTGCCCCCCTCTCACCCAGCCCCCCTACTGGCTGCAAAACAGCCCAGAGCTGCAGGGGAGGCCGGTTGCAGGCTTGTGGCGTTCACGCATTGCCATGCATCGCCCTGCTCAGCTCAGGGTATAGCTGCAGGGCTCCTGCTAGTCAGTGGGAGGCCAGAGTGGGGGTTCCCTGGGGGCCGCAGGCACAGGGCACCCATGACCTCTGCCTCACAGACCAGGCAGGCGCACCTCACATACGGTCTTAATGTTCAGGATGTCCCCAGCACACAACATGTCAGGCATGATGTAGGATATGTGTCCGTAGAGCAGGCGGCACCAGGTTTGCGGGATCAGTGGGAGCTGCACCTCCTGCAGTTCGTCTGAGGTTTCACCTGTGGGAGGGGAACTCCTGTGAGAAGGCAGCACCTGCCTCGGGTGGGGTAGGGGGTTCCTGCCTCACAGTGGACAGCAAGGGGCAGCCCATGGAGATGAGCCCCACCACATGTAGGGAGGAGTTCTGACCACATGTAAGGAGAAGCCCTGACCACATGTAGGGAGGAGTCCCACCACACATAGGAAGGAGCCCTGACCACACATAGGGAGGAACCCCGACCACTCAGAGGGAGGAGCCCCACCACACATAGGGAGGAGTCCCGACCACACATAGGGAGGAACTCTGACCACTCAGAGGGAGGAGCCCCACCACACATAGGGAGGAGCCCCGACCACACATAGGGAGGAGTCCTGCCACACATAGGGAGAAGCCCCGACCACACGTAAGGAGGAGTCCCAACCACACGTAGGGAGGAGCCCTGACCACAAGTAGGGAGGAGCCCTGACCACATGTAGGGCCACCACACATAGGGAGGAGCCCTGACCACATGTAGGGAGGAGTCCCACCATACATAGGGAGGAACCCCGACCACTCAGAGGGAAGAGCCCCGACCACACATAGGGAGGAGTCCCACCACACATAGGGAAGAGCCCCGACCACACATAGGGAGGAACCCCAACCACTCAGAGGGAGGAGCCCCACCACACATAGGGAGGAGCCCCGACCACACATAGGGAGGAGCCCCAACCACACATAGGGAGGAGCCCTGACCACACATAGGGAGGAGTCCCACCACACATAGAGAGGAGCCCTGACCACACATAGGGAGGATTTCCACCACACATAGGGAGGAGCCCCGACCACATATAGGGAGGAGCCCCAACCACACATAGGGAGGAGCCCTGACCACACATAAGGAGGAGTCCCACCACACATAGGGAGGAGTCCCACCACACATAGGGAGGAGTCCCACCACACAGGGAGGAGTCCTGACCACACATAGGAACCCTGACCACTCAGAGGGAGGAGCCCCTCCATACATAGGGAGAAGCTCGGCCCACTCATAGGGAGAAAAACCTTACCACTAATGGGGTGTAGGGGAGGAAGACTGATCACAGACAGGGAGTAACACCAATGACCCAGGAGGGGGGGTCCTGACCACAGATGGGGAGGAGCTCCACCACGTATTGAAGGAGTGCTAACTGTAAGCCTAACTCCTGACCCTAACCCCAATAATATGTTTGGTTTCCTAAATATTTACATCAAAAAAGAAACAATTATAAAAGTTAAAACAAATAAAAGACATCAGACAAAGTAGGAGAGGTATTCTATGAAGAGTCAAGTCAGGGGGAGACAGGACAGTCTGGGTTTGAGAGTCACACAGAGTGTTTGGTTTAGGGGAAACCGGACAGTCTGGGGGTCGAGAGTCACACAGAGGGTTTGGTTTGGGGGAAACCAGACAGTCTGGGGGTCGAGAGTCACACAGAGGGTTCGGTTTGGGGGAGACAGGACAGTCTGGGGGTCGAGAGTCACACAGAGGGTTCGGTTTGGGGGAGACAGGACAGTCTGGGGGTCGAGAGTCACACAGAGGGTTTGGTTTGGGGGAAACCAGACAGTCTGGGGGTCGAGAGTCACACAGAGGGTTTGGTTTGGGGGAAACCGGACAGTCTGGGGTCGAGAGTCACACAGAGGGTTTGGTTTGGGGGAAACCGGACAGTCTGGGGGTCGAGAGTCACACAGAGGGTTTGGTTTGGGGGAAACCAGACAGTCTGGGGGTCGAGAGTCACACAGAGGGCTTGGTTTGGGGGAAACCAGACAGTCTGGGGGTTGAGAGTCACACAGAGGGTTCGGTTTGGGGGAGACAGGACAGTCTGGGGGTCGAGAGTCACACAGAGGGTTCGGTTTGGGGGAGACAGGACAGTCTGGGGGTCGAGAGTCACACAGAGGGTTCGGTTTGGGGGGAGACAGGACAGTCTGGGGGTCGAGAGTCACACAGAGGATTTGGTTTGGGGGAGACAGGACAGTCTGGGGGTTGAGAGTCACACAGAGAGTTTGGTTTGGGGGAGACAGGACAGTCTGGGGGTTAAGAGTCACACAGAGGGTTTGGTTGCTGTTGCTATTACTGTTGTTTTGAGACAGGGTCTCACTCTGTCGCCCAGGCTGGAGTGCAGTGCTGCCATCTGGGGTCACTGCAACCTCCACGTCCCGAGTAGCTGGGACTACAGGTACACGCCACCACACCGGGCTACTTTTTGTATTTTTAGTAGAGACAAGGTTTCACCGTGTTGGCCTGGTGACCACCTGACCTCAGGTGACCCACCTGCCTTAGCCTCCCAGAGTGCTGGGATTACAGGTGTGAGCCCCTGTGCCTGGTCTTTTTGTTTGTTTGTTTTTTCAAGGTGGAGTTTCACCCTTGTTGCCCAGGCTGGAGTGCAATGGCATGATCTCAGCTCACCACAACCTCTGCCTCCTGGGTTCAAGTGATTGCCCTGCCTCAGCCTCCTGAGTAGCTGAAATTATAGACACCTGCCACCACACCCAGCTAATTTTGTGTTTTTAATAGACAGGGTTTCTCCATGTTGGTCAGGCTGGTCTCGAACTGCCGACTTTAGCTGATCTGCCTGCCTTGGCCTCCCAAAGTACTGGGATTACAGGCATGAGCCAGCATGCCTGGCTGGTTTTGTTTGTTTACGTTTTCAAAGACTTGTTGGGTGTGGGAGAATGGGAGAAGAGGGAAACTGAAAGAGGAAATACGTGCTGTTGTGGAATGCGATCTCATGTAACGTCACCAAGTGACCCAAATAAGCATGAGGGCTACTTTCCAGTTACATTGGGTTTCCTGGCCTTGGCTGGGGCTCTGTAAGCCAGTCACGCGGCCCGTGGCTCACCTGTGCATCCTGGAGCCCTGGGCTGCAGTATTACTGAATTTTGCCGAGAGAAGGCCACACGTGTCTCATAGAAAGGGCAAGGCTATTCCCAGTGTCCGTCTCAGGGAGTTCGGAAAACAGAAAGGCCAGTCCTCGTTAGAGAGGGTTCCCAGTGTCCGTCTCAGGGAGTTCAGAAAACAGAAAGGCCAGTCCTCGTTAGAGAGGGTTCCCAGTGTCCGTCTCAGGGAGTTCAGAAAACAGAAAGGCCAGTCCTCGTTAGAGAGGGTTCCCAGTGTCCGTCTCAGGGAGTTCAGAAAACAGAAAGGCCAGTCCTCGTTAGGATTCCCAGTGTCCGTCTCAGGGAGTTCAGAAAACAGAAAGGCCAGTCCTCGTTAGAGAGGGTTCCCAGTGTCGTCTCAGGGAGTTCAGAAAACAGAAAGGCCAGTCCTTGTTAGGATTCCCAGTGTCCGTCTCAGGGAGTTCAGAAAACAGAAAGGCCAGTCCTTGTTAGAGAGGATTCCCAGTGTCCGTCTCAGGGAGTTCAGAAAACAGAAAGGCCAGTCCTCGTTAGGATTCCCAGTGTCCGTCTTAGGGAGTTCAGAAAACAGAAAGGCCAGTCCTCGTTAGGATTCCCAGTGTCCGTCTCAGGGAGTTCAGAAAACAGAAAGGCCAGTCCTTGTTAGAGAGGATTCCCAGTGTCCGTCTCAGGGAGTTCAGAAAACAGAAAGGCCAGTCCTCGTTAGAGAGGGTTCCCAGTGTCCGTCTCAGGGAGTACGGAAAATAGAAAGGCCAGTCCTCGTTAGAGAGGGTTAAGTCTGCTGCTCCTTTGTTCAAGGCTGGAGCTTTCCAATCTGTGGGCTGTGGTTCCCGAGGGCAACAGATTCTCTGCAAAGGCCTGGGAATCCATGGATGTACTTTCCATGACTTGTCTGTCAAAGACTCAGGGTGAGAAGTTCCCTCAGAGGAGGAGAGGTGGACGGCCAGATGGGGCAGGGCCACTGGCAGGAATTACTGTCAGTGCTCCAGTCTCCCTGTGGGATTGGCGTCCGTGTTATTATGAGCCTGCGAACGCTGAAAGCACACCTCGGCAGGAACCAACCAAGAGTCCGTTGTTTTTTGAACAAGAATCAGAATGAATCCAATTCTGTGCCCCAAACAAAGACAGATGGACAGACACCAGACATATGAAATGCATTCAGTGTCTCCGAGGGGAGAGAGGCTGAGCTGAGAGTGGGAAAGTTTTCCTGGAACAAGAGTTCCTTGAAGCGAGGATGCACCCTGGGCCTAGAGATCACAGGTGGACATGCAGGCAGCATTCCTGCCCTGCTGCTAGAGTTGGGATGTTTGTCCAAATCCCAAATTCAACTCTGAATGCTGGAGGTGGACCTAATGGGAGGGGTTTGGGTCTTGGGGGTACATCCCTTATGAATTGATTAGTGCTGAGGAGTGGGGGGAGTGAGCTCTTACTCTGTTAGTTCCTGAGAGAGCTGGTTGTTAAAAAGAGACTGGGGCCTCCCCTCCCCTCTGGCCATGCGGCCCCTTCGCCTTCCCCATGAGTCGGAGCAGCAGATGCCGGCACCATGCTTCTGCACACTCTGAGAAGCTCTTTTCTAGAAACTACACAGCCTCAGGTATTCCTTTACAGCAACACAGGTGGACTAGACGCCTGCCCACCCACACGGCCGGGCAGAGGAGGAGGGTGCAGACGTCTGTGAGGAGCTGCAGGGTGAGGCTTTACTGGGAGGTGGGTGGTCCTGGTTCCGGATGAACTCAATCTGGACCTTGGGTCAACCCTTTCCTGGTTGTGGTTAAAAATGAAAGACTGTTGAAAACTGTGGTCAAGGATTACTGGATTTAAAGTAGCATCCACGCCAGTGTAATGTGTAGAAGCAAAATACAGAACACAAGCATACACAGTCAAAGAGGAAAACAGCTGTGCAGTGTAAAGGGTCTGCACGCTGAGTATGATATCTGAGTTTAGGGGATGAACTGCTCTAGTGGGTCCCCTTCCCCGCCCTCTGCCACATGTGGGGCCCCTTCCCCGCCTTTCCCACTGGGTGCCCTCTGCCACATGTGGGTCCCCTTCCCCGCCTTTCCCACAGCGTGCCCTCTGCCACATGTGGGGCCCCTTCCCCGCCTTTCCCACAGGGTGCCCTCTGCCACATGTGGGGCCCCTTCCCCGCCTTTCCCA